GTTCTCTTCCAAAAAATGAAGAGCATGGGCTGAATGACCATGAAGTCCCAGAACATCAACAATCCCTGCTTCTCCTCACGGTTTCTTTCCCTCCCTTCCTCCCTTCCTTCCTTCCTTCCAATACAAAATAGATGCGTACATCTTCAGGATACATGTGATAATTTGACACATTCATCTAATGTGTAAAGATTAAATCAGGGTAACTGGGATATTCGTCACCTGAAATATTTATCTTTTCTTTATGTTAGGAACATTTGAATTATTCTCTTCTAGCTATTTTGAAGTGTACAGTAGATTAATGTTAACTATAGTCACTCTAATGATCTATCAAATATTAGGTCTTATTTTTTCTAACTGTGTATTTGTACCTGTTAATCAATCTCTCTCTTCATTCCCCCTTCTCCCTACCCTTCCTGGCCTATGGTAGCCACAAATCTACTCTATATTTTCATGAGATCTGCTTTTTTAGTTCCCACATATGAGTGGGAACATGCAATATTTGTCTTTCTGTGCTTAGGTTATTTCACATAACATAATTACCTCCAGTTTCATCAGTGCTGCTGAAAATACCAGGATTTCATTCTTTTTTATGGCAGAATAGTATTACATTGCATATATACACCACATTTCCTTTATCCATTCATCCATTGATGGCACTTAGGTTGAGTCTCTATTTTGGCTATTGTGACTAGTGCTGTAATAAACATGTGAGCGCAGGTATCTCTTTGGAATACTGATTTCCTTTCTTTTGGAGATATACTCAGTAGTGGAATTGCTGGATTATATGGTTCAATTACTGGATTATATGATAATTTATAGCTTTTTTGGGAAGCCTCCACACTATTCTCCATAGTGGCTGCACAATTTACATTCCCGCTAACAGTGTACGAGGGTTCCCCTTTCTCCACAACCTCACCAGCATCCATTATTCCCAGTCTTTTTGGCAAAAGCCATTCTAACTGCGGTGAGATGATATTTCATTGTGGTTTTGATTTGCATTTCTCTGATGATTAGTGATGTTGAGTATATCTTCATATACCTGTTAGCCATTTGTATATCTTCTTTTGAGAAGTGTCTATTCAGATCTTTCACCCATTTCTTAATCAAATTATGTGTTTGTGGGTTTTTGTTGTTTTGTTTTTGCTATTGAGTTGTTTGAGCTCCTTATACAATATATTCTGGCTATTAATCCTTTGTCAGTTGTATGTTTTGCAAATATTTTCTCCCATTCTGTGGGTTGATTATTTTCTTTGCTGTGTAGAAGCTTTTTAGCTTGATGTAATCCCGTTTGTCTGTTTTTGCTTTGGTTGCCTGTGCTTTTGAGGTCTTACACGAAAAATCTTTGCCCAGATCAATGTCCTGAAGCATTTCCTCAATGTTTTTTTCTAGTAGTTACATAGTTTCAGGTCTTATATTTAAATCTTCAATCTATTTTGAGTTGATTATTATATATGGTAATAGATAAGGATCTAGTTTCATTCTTGTGCATATGGTTATCCAGTTTTCCCAGCACCATGTATTGAAGAGACTATCCTTTCCCCATTTTATGTCCTTGGTGTCTTTGTTCAAAATGAGTTGGCTGTAACTGTGTGAATTTATTACTTATCTGGGTTTTCTATTCTGTTCCATTGGTCTATCTGTCTGTTTTTACACCAGTATCATGCTGATTTGGTTACCATAGCTTTGTAGTATATTTTGAAGTCAGTTAGTGGGATATCTCTAGCTTTGTTCTTTTTGCTCAGGATTACTTTGGCTAATTGGAGTCTTTTGTGGTTCCATATAAATTTTTGGATTGTTTTTTTTCTATTCCTATGAAGAGTATCATTGATATTTCTGATAGAGATTGCAGTGAAACCATAAATCACTTTGGGTAGTATTGTCAAAATGACAATATTAATTCTTCAAATCCATGACCATGGAAGAATAGCTTTCCATTTTTTGTGTCCTCTTCAATTTCTTTCATCAGTGTTTTACAGTTTTCTTTGTATAGATTTTTTACTACTTTGGTTAAACTGATTCCTAGGTATTTTATATTCTTTGTTGCCATTGTAAAATGGGATTGCTTTCTTGATTTCTTTTTCAGACTGTTTGCTGTTGGTGTATATAAAACGCTCAGTTTGGGCCGGGCGCAGTAGCTCATGCCTGTAATCCCAGCACTCTGGGAGGCC